TGAGATGTCACATCAGGACAGTACTCAGCCCCTAATCTTTCTATACTGAGACTTCTTGAAGCCTGATAGAGATTTCAGCCCTTCCCCCAAATAAATTACCACTCTGATGTTGCAATTAGGTGGAACACAAATCCAAAACTGTAACCCTAGTAGCTTCATGCTGAGATGCTGCCTAACATGTTTAAAAATCTGTGGCCCTGAGCTCAGGAACAGGAAGTCAGGCAAAATCTGGAAAATCCTCAGTGTTAGGAGGTCTGAGAGGCTTGGTTAAAATCGGTGTTTCATTAGAAAATGGCATCTCTTTGTTGTGTCAGGTGAGAGTGTGCTGAGAGGATCCACCCCAGGGCAGGTGTTGCCACTGCTGCCTTGCTAATGGCAGGGCCATGGGAAACAGGGAGTTGCCTTCACATCCCTTCCACCCAGCCATTCCCTGGGCTTTTGGGGTCAGATATGGCTGTTCCTGATACTGCAGGAGAAAAGGATGGTCTGGGCTGTGAGGATGGGCTGCTCAGGAGAGCCTGAGCCAGAGGGAGAGAGCCTGAGGGCCTGGAAAGGAATGTCAGGGGAGTGACCAGATTTGTGGCAACCAGGGTGAGTGCTGTGGGCAGTAAAACAGCTTCTGGTGTTTCGTGTTAAAGCTTTTTTTTTTTTCTCAGTCAGTAGTGGATTATTTTGGGGTGGTCAGCTTTCTTCCCTGTGTAAGGGGAATACAAATGCACTCCCTGATTTTAGAGGGGAGGAGGTCCTGTGGTGAAGCTAAAGAAATTATGGGGTCTAGTGCTGGTGACCACTGCAGTCCACATGCTCTCTGCTAAACTTGTGCTGTATTAAATAATTGACCCCTACCTCTCCTACCGTCTTTGAAACAAGGTAAAAAGACCAGTTTCTTTTAGAAAGGATTTCTAGGAATAATGATGAAAAGAGTTGTAGGAAATCCAGATACCAGAAGGAAAAATGTTAATACCTCTACTATTTAAATCCTTTTAAATGCCCTTTTTTCCCCCAATTTGTGAAAATGATCGGCTAAGTAATTGTTCTAGTGTCCCTGCAAATCTTGCTTTTTTCATTTTGGACTCAGAATTGTGTTACTGCAACAGGTGACTGTATGATGTCACTACTTGATATGAGGTTGTTTTTTCTTACCTGAGAAGCCCCACTGACTTGGATGAGCTCTTTCTGAGAGTAATTGCTAACCTGCAGGAACAGGTATCACACAGAGGAAAGTGTTGATGGAGGTATTTCCATTCCAAAGATATCAGGCAGGACTAACAGCCCGGCTTTTGTCCTTTTGTGAAGGAGGGCAATCACAAAGATAGTTCTCTTGGCTATCACGTAGCAAGACTGCATGTCAATATGTAAAATTACCTCAAGGAAAGGACTGAGCTGAAAGGTCTTCTTTTTGCTGTGTGATAGCCAATACCTGTATTTCAAAGCCTTTCTGTTAGTCAAAAGCTTCTCAAGAATATGCATTTATGTTATCTTCTGTGAAAAGGTGGGTTTTTTTTTTTAGCAACTAGCAAGAAAGTATAGAACTGGGGGGTTGGGGAAGAAAAACTACCTACCAGCATCTCTTGGCTGTGCTGAACTCCAGAAATATTGGCACTTGGTGTCGGGGAAGAATTTAAGAATGAAACTGTTAATGAGATTGATGAACTCAGTACAGCATATTTGAAAATTACCACTGTACTCATTCCTAAGCTTTATTTTACTCAATTAAAAATGACTCCTTAGTTTCTATTGGCCCCACCTCTGAAATATTTCCTAATAGGAAAGTCATTATACTCTGACACCTATGTGCTCCCTGATCATTAAGTTTTGATAATTGCATGCTCCCAGTTTTTCGTTTTCCCATACTTTATCTCTTCTCTTTTCCTTGTTGTATCTGTTATTATGTCTTCCTTCATGTGATACCCCAGGTTTTGTGTTTACAGAGCATTTCAGTTACTCAGAGCTGAACGTGTTTGGAACCTGCCTCTAGGATGGTCAGGGAGGGGGCAGGTAGAGTGACACCTGCCTGATGCATCTTGGAAGGGTTTGGATGTTTGTTTGGCACAAGGCTGCAATGATTCATGGAAAACTGAGATGCTCTGAACCAAAAGTGGAAGCAAAACTGAGGGAATTAGGAGCCCTGGGCCACAAATGCTGTTGTTCACTGTGCTTTGGTAACTCTAATATAGGGCTGGATTTCAGCAGAGATTTTCAGATGGTTTGATTTCAACATCTTCCATGTTTATCAACATTTAGTCCTTTTTTGGATCTTTTCTCCTTATTCTATATGGAGCTCTGTGTTCGAGAACAACCATATTTTCCTGTATGACAGCTTCAGTAATCTTTGACAGATTGATGAGCTCTCAGGGACTGGAGAGGGACAGTGCTACAAGAAGGACCATGTTATCCTGGGGCTTTGGTCAGAGGGTGAAGCGATTGAGGAGTACATTCCGGGTCTTAAATAAAATCAACTAAAGTGGAGATTAAAGTACCATAGATGCAGAACTGTCAGTCTTGCCAAGAGTAATGAAAATGCCTTGATTAATTTTGTGGATGGAGACCTGTGGCTTCCTCTTGAGCAGCTGGGACAACAAAATCTTCCAGGCTCAGTGTTGTAGAAGAACAGTTCTGCAGAACCTTTCAGGGTTTTTTTTATATATTTTAATTTATTTCTGCCTTATAAGTTTTTCCTACATGCATATGTCAAACTTCCCCATCACTAACTTGATTACTGCATATAATATAAACAATTTGCAGGCTGCAACATGCTGAAAAGGCCTGAAGGCAAATTTGCTTTCCATGTCGTTTCAAGTCTCCACCCATCCTATGAGAATGACTTCGAAGGCTGAAGCATTTTGCATTATAGCACTTTTGCAACTAAATGATAAATGAGTGAAGTGCTTCTTTTGGGTTGTGATAGCAGATTGTTCATAGAGGCAAGTAGGAGCAACCTTGCTGCATTTCTCACCTCTGAGGTGGCCTTAGAGATGAATCCCGAAGTCCTGAAGTTGAAGGAAAATTGGATTAAGCACCTCATTGATATTTTGCCAATACAGGTCTTCAATATGATTACATAATTCATAATAGTGTGTATTATTTACTTTTATATTAGTGAACCAAACTCATCACACATTACTGAAAACTTTCGATGTTCCCTTTCAGATTTTTTCAGGATTTCCATTTGATAAGAACAAGTTTGTGGGTAGAGATCCATATTGAGTAGATGTGTCCTGGTGGCCTGGTGAGCAGCAACAGTGAACATCCCAGTTACAGAGAAAAGCAAAAACTGATGAAGAAAAATAGATCCAGGAAGGATATATAAAATGTCAAGTCCTTTTCCCAGGAGGAAAACCTCATCACCCTGAAGGGATTGGCAGAGTTGGAAGCAAAATTTGCTTCGTACCTTGGTTGCACAAATGGTTGGATGGGGGCCATTAGAACCAGGCAAGCCAGTATTGGAACGAGGCCTCTTCAGCAGGTAATTCCCACACTGTGTTTTGCTATAAACCCTGTCTACTTCCACAGGTACCTCTCTGAAGCTACTGATGGCCACTTCAGAAACCATTGCCTTTGTAATTTGTTCTTGGCAACACCATCATCACCTCTCCATTCTGTCTTCTAAGCAGAAGGGCCACTTCTTGACATGCCTCCTTGTACACTTCCACCTTGCTTACAGCAGGCTCACAGTGAAATAAGACATTTCTCACCAGATGGAGATTGCTGCCTTGCTTTCATGGGCTACTAGACCAATGATTGTTTTTCTTGTATTTTTTTTTTTAAGTTAGCAGTAAAGGTTTGGTCTAAGTTGCCTGTAGATCAGTTCAACACCAAGGAAATTGTCTTGCTTTTTATCACTTTGTCTTTAAATCAAGGTTGATGCTTTCTTAGGCAGAAAGCGTTAATGTAAATGTGAACTGTAGGGTTTGATTCTGTTCAGCTGTAAAGGAGAGGATAATTCTTGCAGCTGCAAGAGTCAACATTCTAAGTTTTCTGCCTTGCTTCACCTGTCAGTTTATAGCAGTCCTGTCTGTCTTTCTGAACCTCTCCTCTAAAGAGTGTAACATAGATGTTCAGTTCTGAATGAGAGTAATTACATACTGTTAATAGACATTTAAATGATTTAAGTCATCTTCCTAAGATCCTGAAGGCCAGCATGGGGTTTTTTGCTGTTGTTGGTCTGCCAGGATTTAGTGTGTTCTAAAGTGATTTTCAAAGTGGGTTTTCTGGACTTTAACTCATGCCAGTTGGGGAGAGGTGAATGAGTCCCAGCTTTGTCTGCTGAATCAGTTTTGGATGTCTGTGCCAGGTGCCAGTATTAGTAAGCACAGCTATCACAGAAGATAGAGGTTAAAGAACAGAATTTACTCATCGTATTCTTAAATAAGCACATCAAACACAATCTGCTGTATCACCAGAGCTGCTGGTGTTAGCTAAGGGCAATACCCAACATCTGATAATAGCACTGGTGCAACCAAATGGAAAACATGGGTATCTCACTGCTGCGAGGAAACGTCAGAATTGTTTGCTGTATTCTCAGCATGTTAAGATTATAATTAATTTATTTTTAAATTATTTTTTCTCCCCATTGGATTAACAGAAGATTCAGTAAGTGGAATTGATAGTAATCCAGGAGTGCTTTCCAAATTAGAAAGATGACGTCAGTTAGGCTGCTGGTCAGGAGACGGGATATCTCATGTATGGTAGAGCCAGGCTGATAATTCTGTATTCCTAGCTGAGACATTCCAGGGGTGACTGGCTGGCATGGTGCTTGGTTGGTTGGTGGCCACCCCAGCTGTGAGGAACCAGCCTTCAGGGATCAACCTGATGGACTCAGCCCCTAGTGAATGCAAGTGGAGCAGCTGAGCTAAGAGGAGAAACACAGCCCTGCTTCAGGCACAATCCTCTCTGGAGATCCTCATCTCTCCACTGCTCACTCCTGGATTTAACTCTGTGCTGTGATTTTTTACTTTTCTCCTTTAGATACAGAAAATGCATTTCAAACAAAACTTTCACATATTCAGTGTGGTTTTAGTTTACATACAGTTCAGACAGATGGAAGAATAAGGACTCATTTCTCAGTGTGTCCTTGGACTGAGTGAGTTCTGTATTGTTCCATAGAGAATCAGCCTGAAGTGCTTGATGTTGCAGCTTGGACACTTCAATTCCGATTTTGCAGGCAGCCTGTAAAGGAGTGTTTTCTTTAATTTTTATTTATTATGTTCTCCGAAAGCCTGTGTCCTGTCAGGACGCTGCACCTGTACTAGCTTTTTGTTCCCAAGGGAAGAGTATTATGGCATCTTTCCAGCATCTAAAATAGCAATCTTCTTGAGAATCTGCTGTACAGGGTGATAAAATACAATCTTATTTTACCTTCCTACCTTTCAGACGCTGTCCCTCCTCACTCCTGGAGGAGTAGCTGTACCTCTAAGGTACTTGGTTAGTACTTAGTTGGTACTCTAAGGAATGAATACCTGTACCAACTAAGAAGTACTGTACCTCTTAGCTGTGGCTAGATGGAGACAGGCTGGATAACACTTTGCTAAATGAAAAGTACCCCTAATTTGGACAGAAAAGGATATTTGTCAAGCTGTGGACCCGAAAGAGCCATGGAAAAGACCATTTATAAATAGGGGAGAGCAGTTAAGCGACCGGTCAATCAATCAATGTCTCCTTATGTCTGCACACAGAGTGTGCTTTGACCAGTGTCCCCCTGTGTGACCTTATGGAATGCTTGGGGAAGGTCACTGTGACATCCCTTCCCCTAAAGGGTGAAATGTCACAGCCACGTCAGTGGCTGAAGCTTTGGAAGAATCTTTAAGTCCTTCTGTTCAAATTCCTCCTCTAAAAATTACTTTACTTTTATGACCTGCCCTTTCTGTGCCTGTACTTGAAAGGTGCGTTCAGAAGCTGAAATTTCCGTGGTGTTTAACCCTCTAGTGTCCTTTCCTTTACGGCGTCTCTTGAGCCAGGACTCCAGCGTGGAGCAGGTAGGGGTGGAGCAGGGTGTCCAGGCAGTGAACGTAGGTGAGGCAGGCAGTGGCTCCGTAGGAACAGTGGGGTCAGCTGCTCAGGTGAGGGTCAGTGTTTGATGGGGAGCTGGCAGCCTGGAGGTAGGAGACAAGGAGGAGAGTGTGTGGGCAGGTCCTGGCAGAGGAGGGAGAGGGGAAGGAGTGGGGGGACACGCTGGAAGTGAAGGAGGTGGGTGACAGAGAGGCAGGGGTGCAAGGAGAGCTGCAGAGCCCTGACTGGGGGAGCGAGCCCAGGCAGGTTGGCGGCAGGGAAGTGGGTCGGGGTGGAGGGCAGGCGGTGTTAGGAGGGGAAGTGGGCAGGTGGCCGGGCAGGGCTCGGCGGGTGGGTGTTCCCGAGGAAGTGGGCGCGGGGTGAGCGGGCATCGGGCTGCGAGGGGCTGCCCCGGGGGCGGGAGGCGGCCCCGCCCGGGCCGTGGGGCAGCCCAGGGACTGCGGTTCCCGGCAGGGCAGCGAGGGGCGGGCGGCTGCCGGTCCGATAAAGGGCCGGGCGGCGGCCGGCGCGGGCAGAGCGCAGCGGCTGCGGCGGCACACATGGGGATGCTCAGCCTGCCCGGCTTTCTGTCCTGCGGGAAGACGAAGGTGAGGGCGTCGGGGGGAGGCTGGCTGGAGGCACCTGGGCAGGTGCGCGAGAATGTAGGCAAGTGTGGGTGCACCTGAGCAGGTGGGCTGTGGTGGGCGTAGAGGCACTCGGGCGAGCAGGGTGCGGGTACGTCGGCAGCTGTGGGCAGGTATGAAGTTGTCTGGGCAGGTGAGATCCGAACAGGTAGTGGAAGGTAAAGTGAGATGAGCACCTAGGCATGTGTGAAAGGCACTAGGACAGGTGTTTTTTAAAGTGGGCATACAGGTATGTGCTGATGTGAACATCTGAACAACGTGCAGGGGCAGAATAGGGGAGTCTCCTGAAGCTGCCCCCAGGAACTGACAGCACAAAGGACTAAAGCAAATCTGTCTGTGGAGGTGTTTGGGGTCTCTGGTAGGACCCTCTCCCACAGGTCTATGCTGTCCTGCCAGAGATCAGCTGGACTGGCAGCACAGCTGGCTGTGCCTGCCCTCCCATGGTACGTCTCTGGACAGAGAAATGAGGATATGATTGCCTTTCTTGCCTGGTGGGTGATCACAAGCCTTCCCTCTTCTCTTCCAAGGACTTCAGCTTGACAAATGAAAAAGATGCCCACTCTAGTGACAACGATGAGAACTCAGAGCGTGGCAACTGGTCCAAGAAAGGCGATTACCTGCTGTCCATGGTGGGCTATGCCGTGGGCCTGGGCAACGTCTGGCGCTTTCCCTACCTCACCTACCAGAATGGAGGAGGTACCTGTGCTGAATGGCAGGGTCGGGTGGGCACACCTTGCTATCCCCGGGAGAGAGGAGGGCAAGCCCCAAAGGCCAGCTCTGAGGTTGGGCATGTTCTGTCAAAGCTGGATAAGTGCATCACCCCGGGAACTGGGATAGAGCCTGCTCATGGGAGAGGGGAGTAAGAGGCATCTATGTGCTTTTTTTGGCTGAGAAGGGAAATAGTATTCATTTTGAATTGCAAATTTCTACCCGAGAATTCCAGAACTCTTCTTATTTACTCACAACCAACATGCACCTTTTCGCCCATGTGCCAATACCCTCTACTTGTCTAAATAGCTGTTCTCCCACCTATTCTCTTATCAGTGCTTACCTCCTGGTAAGTTTATGTTATATATCATACCTGGTATGTTTATAGAGAACAGTTGAATCCCCTTTGCACCTTTGGTTTTGCATGCAAACAATATAAACTGGAATAATTATCCCAGCTTAATAATTACCCAGATTAGACACTTGGGAAGTGTGAGACAGAGAGAGCCTCTGCCTAGTTACGCAATGAGATAGGGGCAAAGCCAAGCAGAGGCACTGGCTTCCTTGGCTTGTATTCCAGAGCTTTATCTACTTGCCAGGCTACCACTGGTAATTAAAGAGTGTGTGAATAGTAACTGCAGAGAACTTACTTATATGTACCTGTTTGCTCTGCTTAACAGTCGTTGAAGTAGAATTCTGGACTGTAAATGCAGTACAGTCCACACAGATGCACATGAAATATAAGGAGGCATTCTCAGTACAGAATTTTTATTGGAGTAAGCTTGGCTGGTTTGCATTACTTACTGTTTGATTGAAGAAAATTGTGAGAACAAAATAAATTGTGATGTCGGCCCTTGGACTTGATATTTTTGCTTATCTGCTGCAGCAGAGACTTTGCATTTAAAGCATATTTGTGCTGCTGCTTGCATCCGTTTCTGTGCCCCTTGCCCATGATTGGCATGGTAAAGACAACTGTTACATCCTTGTTTCAAAACACGGGAGCAATCCAGTTAATTCTCTGGGACAATTTGCTTCCTGAAATTACATCAGGTATTTGCAGTTCCTTGCAGAACTGGGTCCTTGATTGCTTTAAATTCACTGAGAGTGATGAGGACAGATTGCTGCAGGGATATCGTGTTGTGTTTATGAAACTTGTGCTCTCGCTTTCCCTGTCTTCTGTGCACACACAAAGAATTGCCAGTCCCTTTCTCAGAGCAGGGCGCTCACTGATATCAGGTTAACCTGTACTTTTAAATGGACTTGAACAAGAGCCATCCTGAGATGTTGTTTGACACAGGAATCGGCCAACCGTAGAAAATAATCTTCATGCTTTGATGTCCAGTAGCTGCTTAAGAGGGCAGTTGCAAAACACAGCTAAATACACAGAGGGATGTTTCTGTTCCTCTTTAAATTAAAAGCTGAATGATTAAATAGAAAGTGGATAAGGCTGTGGTGCCTACAGCTGAGCAGTGTTCCTGCTTGTATTAGAGCACAACTTCAATAGGTTTTGTAAAATTAATTTACTTTTATAAGAGAAGCCATTGTTTTTAAATCAGCAGTTCTGACAGTCTGTGTCTCTCGGTTGCAGGTACTATTTAGTCTTACAGAAAACAGGACTTAGAAACAAATCTCTCTATTTTGAAAAAAGCCTCTACAGTGGGATGTTTGAGCAAGGGGGGAAGGGGGAGTATAAAATATGGTAGAACTGGGGTAAATGCTGAAATATGCATTGCTTTCTCTGTGTGTTGACTGTGCTCCCCCCCCTTTTTTTTTGTCTCCTTCTCTCAGGTGCTTTTCTAATCCCTTATACCCTGATGTTGGCGTTAGCTGGCTTGCCCTTATTTTTCATGGAATGTTCCCTTGGGCAGTTTGCCAGTCTAGGGCCAGTTTCCGTCTGGAGAATACTACCATTGTTCCAAGGTTGGTTTTGTTATCTTTTCTGAGATCTTTTTTATTCCAGTAATACACCCTTGTGAATTAATGATTTCTTCATAAAGTTACTGAGACACCGATATCTGTGAAGCAACTATTCCCATTGTTACAGGGTCAGTGTTATGTTCCCAGGTACATACTTCCTCATTATTCGGTAATAAACAGATGTTGAGTAAAGATTTCCCCAAAAGTTCTTGGTTATGAAAGATTTTATCGATGATTCTTCCAGTGTTAAGCAGCACATCACCTTCACTCCACCTGTCCAGGCAGAAGGAAATATCCCTGTTTTCCTGTGAGGGAAAACCTCATTAAAACAACTGGTGTACTGTGTTCAACAGATTGAAAATAAATTTTAGAGGTTGAGTTTATCGCTTTTTTTTATGCTTCACGTCCAGTGTAGCTTGCAAGGCAATTGTGTGTTGGATGGATTAATTCTGTATTTGGCTGCCAGTGCAGGTGCACGTCTGGGTGCTCTGTGCAATATTGTGCACAATCATTGCTGCCTTGGGAGTCATCTGCTGGTGTGATAAAACAGCCTAGATTTTGGCTCTGTAAAGTGAGCTGCCTCTTGTGATAAGAGAAATCACTGCATGCTGTAGTGATAGTGAGGGTTTGTATTTCATAGTGAGATTTGTTTGGCAACAATTAAGCACGTGCTTTACTCACACCTGTCCATCCCAGCCCTGTACCATGGGAGTAAAGGACTATGCAATGGTTTTGTTTGTCTTAATCTACCAGAGGAGTTAATGTAGGAACAAGGAAGTTTCCTTCTGATGCAACAAGAATTTGTTCATCACCTACAGAAATTGGTTGCCCCAACATTTGCTCTTTTTCCAAGTCTCTGTTCTGCAGCACAAGAACCTTTCATGAAAGCAGTGAGTTTACCTTTAAAACAAAAATTTTTAAACACAGCATTTATGTGTCTGTGAAGACAGAAACTTAAATATAGTTTCCAAGATGATTGGTACAGTTTGTCAGGCTTTCCCAAACTCACAAAACAAAACTCATTTTAACAAGGGGGAGAACAGTAGCATTGGCAAGATTTACTGTAGTTTAAAGCATTCATTACAGTGGAATCTTTAAAATGGCTTGGGCAGTCCTAGTACAGTTTGTTTTATTTTACTAAGTTTCACTCTAAGTGGGGAGAGAATAAAATACTGAATTTCTCCTTTAGACTTTGCAGATAATCCAATTTTTTTATGGGCTTAATTCAAACTCTATTTCAAAACCATGTTTGAGAGGGTCGGTTTGGATCATATCCATCATTAATGGGTTTAAAATGTCACTGTTTGTTTGTTGTTAAAAAAATTTTAAAACCGAACAAAATACAACTTCAAGTTCTTCCCAAGTAGCCTTTGAAAAGTCAAGTGAAGGCTATTTGTTTTGGTGGGCTTGTAAAAAACCTGAGTTTGGGGTGATTAAGACATTGTGTCTTTCTCTTTCCTAGGAGTGGGCGTCACAATGGTCATCATCTCGGCATTTGTGACTATCTACTACAACGTTATCATTGCTTATGCACTCTACTACTTATTTGCCTCATTTCAAAAAGTGCTGCCATGGTCAGACTGCTTTTCCTGGGCAGATGAATTCTGCAGCAAGACACGAATAGGTACAATACTTACCAGATAGTTTAATATTATTGGTTTTGGTAATTGGACTGTTTTTTCGGGATGAAAGTATAGGAACAATACATCTACCTGTGGCTTCAAAAATCCTTCCTGGAGATTTGCATCTGAACACAGAGGAGTGATGCTTATCCACTTCCCTGCCACCAGTTGTGGGTGCTTGGGAAATCTACGGAGAACTGAGCTGAAATCACCTTTTTGGATCC